AGTTTCTTTACAATGTACACAATAATACAATACAAAATCAATGACTGAATCATACAATGGGTGAATATTCGCAGAGAAAGAATAATCTCTAGACCACCACCAACACCAACAAATTTTCACACTCTTCATGATCCACTCTAATCCCTCACAAACTTTTTCTCCCTTCTATTTCCTCATTCAATCTCACCAACAATCACCTCAGTCTATCCCCCAACACCATTCCAACATCAAGTTTCACCACGTCCCGGATATTTTCCGTTGAGGATTGCCCACGACATGAACTGTTTCGGTACGTTCATCAGCAACTTCGTCACCAACTGATCGTTTGACATCGTTGGATGATACGAAACGAACGTAACACATTCACGTTTCAGTAAATGTCCGTTGGTTGATGACTTAAGATTCGGTGACAACAGCAAATTCATCGGTGTGTAATCGGAATTGCCCAGACCAACGATAACGATTGATATCGGTAGATATGAACAATCGACGATTGCATCTAGCGTTTTNGGAATTGCCCAGACCAACGATAACGATTGATATCGGTAGATATGAACAATCGACGATTGCATCTAGCGTTTTGCGGGGATTTGTCACACAACCATCCGTCACGATCAATAACACAAAATAGTGTTCACTTGTCTTTTGACGATTCGCCGCTGCTCCGAATCTACAATTTTTGATAGATGATGAAACTATTGAATAAAACCAGTATATTGAATCGCTGACAAAAACAGCAATTGAATGAAGCAATTCAGTAACGTACTTGTAAACGTGATAAATCACTTCCGAGAAATCTGTCGGCGCATATGGCCTTATCGCATACAACGTTGATCGATATGCACTCATGAGGCCATCAACACCGATCACGTGCGGATCGGTCGTTGTTCCATTCTCAAATTGAAACAATTCATTTGACTTTGCAATACGAAACAAGTCGAAACTACAACAACATGCTAATCTTTACGAATCGCATAATACTGAATAGTAAAAAAATTAATTTAAAAAGTGAGAAACTAATTCTATGAAAAAATCACCATGAAGAACAGATGAGAGACTTGAAAGTTTGGAGGTATTTGTGCACCGAATCCCAACGCCGCAATACGTTCGTGACGGTTGTATTTATTGATCACGGATGCAACCGCGCATAAACATGTCATGTAAGGATTAGCACTGAAATATGAAATTGTGCTCGAGAGAATGACTCAATGAAACTGATGATTTTACACATTATTTCAATCATAAGACCGAGCAAAACAAATTTTTTGACGAAACGGAATCGATAATAACAATTGATCATTAATAATTAATAACAACAAAAAACTTAAACGAAATTTTAGAAACGAACTTGTGAGGGTGTATGTAATGTAATGAAGAAGGATTCAACGGATTACCATTTGAAGCCGTAAAATCGACAGCGACCGAAAAGTGTATTTGAGTCCTAAAATTGAAATTTATTTCCATGGTATTTTTACTCGTATGGAATTATCACTATCAGTTCATTCATTTAATAGCTCTTTGAACATATTTTTTTCAATATGATGAATTCGAAAATGTTTTTCATCTACATAACTTTTCAAAGGGCATTACTTTACCTCCTAATAATGTAGAACTTCGTATAAATACTACTGAATCCTATTTCTATATTTCACACACAAGAAGTTACACTTAACTCCTCGCCGGGATTAAGCTTAAACTTTTCCAAAAAACAAAATTTCGAAGCATCTGAATATGCTGAACAAGAAACATCATAACATCAACCAACTCACCCCGATTTAATGAAATCTATAAAAGAATCCGACGCGATCTGAACAATATTCATCAACTCAACTGACGTATGATCTTTTTTACGACGATCGTCTGTCGATAACTAAACAAATACAAATTGATTAATTAAACTTACTCGTTCCATCAACGCCACAAAAAGTCAACACACTAAGTTATAACAAAGAAATACATTGACTGAAGAATGAATGAAATAAAAACGTTTGACTGCTGAAAGGTCGTGATTTTGATAATTTCAAAATGAGAACGAAAAGCACAAAAATCTTCCAGTGACTGAACAGATTCAGTGGCCTTCAATGCATAATCAACTGCTGGCAGAATGAAGGGATGCAAGAATACCTTATATGTGTTAATGGGACCAGTCCCTCTCAGCAAGTGATCCAACGAGGTCGTACATTTCCCGATCAATTTATCGCTGAAAAACGATCCATTAATGCGACAATTCCATCAAATACAATTATAACTAAAAAAGAAAATGTTCAAATAGTCAAAACTCGAAAATAACTCACTCTGAGTTTGCAATATAATTGTAGACATCTATTTCGATTGAGCATGCTCCAGGAGAAGGTGGAGTGAAATGCGATAACGGCACAACGAAACTGTTCCATGTGGGACTCTTAGCAGACACTGACTCGCTTGTGTACAGAAGATGCTTAAGATCAGTGCCTTCACATGAAAGCAACATCACAAAATAGGCATTCACTGGGAAATTATCCACTGGTGAGCTCATGTGGTGACCACAAAACTGAAGGCGTAACGCTTGGAAGGTCACATCTGAAGGACGTGCTCGAATATTCAACACACCAACATCGAGCGACGCACCTGCAATTACAACGTTTATTCGGAGAGACTGGAAAAATACTTCGCCGTAAAATACACACATTCACAAAAAGTCAAACATTAACCTTTGGCAGTGACAAATCGTAATGTCATATCACCACCACGAGAGAGCAACTCACCAACTGCGCACTCACACTGACCTAAGGTCACCAATATTCTTTCTGAGTCACCGTCTATTTGATAGCTAAAACGAACACTCATTCCGAATATCACCGAAAAGAAAACCAATCATTCAATGAAGAAATTATGAGAATTTCAAAACCTCCGGATGTAATGTTCAATTGAAATATTCAATATAAATTTGCGCACTTCACAACCTCAACTGAATTTGCAATAACAAATCATCGCGATGACTTTGTATTTTCTATCTGATTACTTCGATAAGGATTATCCTCAGCTGAGTAAATGTCAAACGTGAAGAAAACAAGCGAAACGAACATAAGAAATCGTAAACGTTCTGAATTCTCGAAGTGATAATTGATATAGAAGTGACGCGCAAACACCGGATTCAGATTATTTATTACGGTTTCAGTTTGTCCAATCTGCAAAGTCAAGAACATTTTATATTGCTTCTCAAAATCTCCAACAGGTGCTACAATACAAAAGTTCATTGAAACTTGATTACTTCTGATTGCTGATACTAAAGTTACAAACAAAATAATAAATGCCTTGAATAATTAGTTAATTTGCGACGATTGTTTTCTCGATCAACTATATTTCAAAAGATTTATTTCAACTATCAAATAACCGATGAAAGCAAAACTGAAAGAAAAACTAACAAAACGACAAAATTATATTCTCCCAACCTCAACGAAAGGTGATCCTTCATATGTACAAGTAGAAACTGCTATTCGCACACCTGAGAATGCCTCTACGGGAAGATCCCTTCAAATCTGTGAATATTACTTCATATATGGTAAGTTCATATCTGACAATTTTAACTTGGAGTCAAGTTTTTTGCTACCGATTATGATGATTTCAATTGTGAGGAAATTGATAAAGTGGAGAACGTTCAAATAAAATCATAACTCCAAGAGTGATCGCAAGAATTTTATCAATAATTAAAAAATCAGATGAAATGAAAAGTAAATTAAGCTTAACCTGCACAAGAGATGCAACTCAATCGGCTGGGTAGACATCTTCAATTGATGATTAATTAAAATTTAAGACTTGAACTTTATGATTAGTTTCGTCAGTTACAGTGAATGAAGATGAGCTGATTCATTGCATAGAACCTGAAAGATTAACAAAACGCGTTGAAAAGTCAAATCCGAATTGTAAGCTATCACTAGCCGAACTGTAAAATATCACTTTATTTGGTTAATGAATAATCAAGGAGAGCCAAATTTCTCTCCGCAGAAGAAAGCAATGAACGAAAAGAATATTCAAAACTGGGCATTCATCGCTCGTACGAGTCAACTAGAGAACTATAGGAGTTTGCAAGTGAATTTGTCAAGTGCATTCATTTGTTTTCGCAACAATTATGAAGATGGAAAATGGCTTAATATTACTGCTAATGCAATTTTAACGGCAATCATATGTCGCAATCCGAACACACGAACCAAAATAGTCATATAATCAACATTCTATTCACAATCAATACGAAGGAATTCAATACGATGGAATGGAATGATGAAATGAATTCAATTAAAAATTTTAATCATATGTCATGCGTATTTAATATGTATGCAAATTGAATGAAGAGCATTAATAGAGGAAATGAAAGCAGAAGAAGAAATGTCGAGTGGAAGGAACAGTTGTAAAGTCTGGACGATGAAGAGCTAAATTGAACGCATGAAGACAGCAGACAGCTGGGATGATTGGAGAGATTGTTTACGAAAAAAACTGAAAACAACAGATAATTTTGCCAATGGATAGAGTTTGTGTTTGTTATCAAAGAGGTTTCTCTTTATATATGCAGTGAACGTTTGAGTTGGTTACTTATTCAATTCAATTATTTTCATGCAAAATCGCATTAGACATAATGCGAAATCGCACTATTTTTCGGTATTATTTCAAAATTGCATTCCAATTCAACAATTTCTTCATCAGAAACCAGTTCAGTTTGAAATGATCACTGCTATTCAAGTGTGTATATTTGGTTAACGTAAACATGTTGAGTGAATCGTCGTCGTTTGATAATACTTCTGGTTGTGGCATTATATAGGCTAATGCATTTATTAACTACTGTGGGAGAAAGAACAGAATTGAGTTAATTTCATTATGAGAGCAGACAATGGAAAAATCACAATTTTGAAAAGTAATCGAAACTGATGATCAATTTCAATTGATTTAAAAACATTACGAACCCTTCAAAGGCACCATTTCCATGGATTGAAATCGAGCTTACAGGAAACAAATCGATGGATCGTCATTAAGCCATCTCTAATCGAATTCAATTAAAGCAAATCCATTTAATGCAAAAAACATTGTAGAATCGCAGGCTCCTGCATTCACAAAGACTTGGCGTTTTGTGACATGACAAGAAAAGACTGGAAATTGCACAATGAAAAAAGCACTTCTTCCTCTACGAGGATCGAACCACGATCCTCCCGCATGACAGCCCGACTCACTACCACTACACCGAAAGGTCATACTACCCAATGTTTTAAATTTCTTGTACATAAATGTTAGGTTGGAAAAAAACTGACAGCCTTTCCCTCCC